ATGCTTATACCCATGTTTTTCTTATTTTTTATTTTCTTATTTTTATCCATCTGCAGAATGCTCTTTGTTTGTTTATTTATTTTTGGCCATATTTAAGGCAACCTTTTAATTATTGAGATTTTAAATGGTTAACACCTTGTGGTAAACCCTCTGTATTCACTCTTATAACATGACCTTATTATGGTTGACTTGAAAAATGCTTTCAAGTCTATCATACACAATGCACTCTTCACTTGGCTCAGTATTGTCAAGGGGATTTTCATTACCATAGAAAGGGTCCTGCAATTATCTCCCCACCCCCCTCCCCCACTGTTGTTTCTTGTACAACTCAAGTCTTTTCATGCTGCTCAGGTTTCCAGTGCACCCCCTTCCTGCAGAATATACCAGAAGGTTATTTTGACCAGTCATATTTCTGCATTCTTTCTGGTAATTTTGTTTTGAATTTTGCAGCCTGGGGATGTAAATGCCACATTTAGAATTAACTCCAGGCATTTATTCGGTTAATTAGCTAACAAAAACAAAAACAATGAAATAGCCCACACGTGTTGGAGAAACTTCAGAGGCAATTGTCCAAGTACTCAATTACGTTATAAACAAGAGGGCTACATATTAGAGAGCTTACCAAACCCTTCTTTTAATTTTCTTGTCTTTACATTAGCACTTTGTAACACTGCAGTAGCTTATAGTGAAATTTCACATGCATTAAAAGTATAATTTGCATTTCCTTTATCTAAAATACTAAAAAAAAAAATTTCAAATTACTTAAAAATTATTTACAGTATATTTGTTGGCCGTTTCATTTTAAAATACTTGAAGGTACTCATTTCTTAAAAATATTTATCCTACACTTTATAATACTTCTAAATCCCTATAAAACCTCCAAATTTCCCCTTTTAGTTTTAGGTTATCATGTATAGACCCCAAATTTTAAAGAAAATTAGAACATGTTAAATGTTCTAGGGCTGCATTATTGGGTGCAACCTACGTTAAGCCCATATTTATTACATAAGTTAGCTAAAAACAACAAAAGATGAATTTGGACACCCCCACGGTGAACCTGGTGGGCGGGGCCACGTTACGGCACGCGACGTCACGGTTGTAAACACCCGTATGTACTCACATCTTTGTGTCCCGTGGAAACATGTCGGGGAGGAGAGAGCCCAGTGGAGGAACTGCTTCGTCTATCAAATGCTCACCTGAGACATAAAGCGACAGAGCCAGAGAGGAAACGGCGGCGTGTTTGTTCGAGTTTGGAGCAACTGCAGCCTTCCGCTGTCACAGAAGCGAGCCGGTCGGGATCGGATGGACGACTAAAGACAGACAGCCGGGGCTTGATCTGAAGACTTAGCCTAGCAGGCAGGTGGTCGAGCCGGTTAGAGAGAAAGAGCGAGAGAGGGGGGACAGCGTGTACGGTCTCGGATCAGAACGGGGTTTCTCCTTGCTAGGGGATGTTATCCGTACTGTCTTATGGCAGACTGGTAGCCAGGGCTGTCCTGGGCGGACTCTCTCAGACGGACGGTCGGGACTACAGTCTGATCACCGCCAGTTATGGTTTCGGTAAAGACTTTCGCAAGGGGATCCTGAAGAAAGGGATGTGCTACGGTGATGATGCTTGCTTCATTGCACGGCACAAGACGGCTGATGTCTTGGGTAAGGATTCAGGGCTCTGCAAATGGCTTGCATGAAAGTTAGACGCCCTCTGTGCTCGGGTGACCTTCAGTGAGTTTAGCCAGCACGTGTGCCGACCCGTCGGATCAAAACACACCAGCCCCCCTCCCCGCTCACACATAAAAAAAAAAAGACAGCACTTTAACCCGGATAAAACAAGACTCCAACCCGGATAGACGCTTAAAGCATATCTGTACGCACATAGCACCTGCACTCACGTCATTACTTTAATAAATGACATTTATTTTACTGTTAGGGGGTAGTTTTGAGGTGAAACGCTAAATGACCTTTCACCTACATGTGTCCCCACTGTGGGATACACTGCGATGACGTAGGCTGTTGCAATCACAACATTAGAAGACGTAAATCGGCCTTATTTAATTCGGACGTGGCAAAAAATAGAGCTCATTAAAACGTATCAGACTTAACACTACAATGTCTTGCAAAGGTCAGAATGGTTGAGCATGGAGGCAGCCATGTTGCTAATAGCATCATTAGCCTATTAGCTTAGCTAGCAGGCTAAGCTTGCTTTGTCCTCGCCACCTTGCTACTGCCAAAGACTTAAACTACCACGTGGTTGGTTAGACACACACACAAGGTGTATTTCATAGTTTAGAAGGTCTGTTTAGTGTTAAACGTTTAGGTTGGTTAGAGAAATAAAAATGAAATCTCCGAGGAACACATGGCAACACGTGTATACACGGCAAGGAGAAATGGAAGTGGAATCTGTGAGACTTCAAGTCAGAGTGTTGAAAACGTCCCTTGCTGTAATTCAGGCTGATGGAAATCGTAGTGAAGGGCGTAGCTGACAGTGATGATCAAGCAGTGCAGAAGAAAATGCGTGGGGTTTTCCAGAATGTATAATATTTTCACTTTCTTTTTAAAGGTTACTTTCACCTCTGTGAGAAAGGGAAAATAATTCCAAAGTCACAGCCTTATAAACTATGGAAGCAATATTCCCAGTAGTCTGTGTGCTGTAGAAAGAAATACTTTCAAAAAACTAAGAGGAAACACATAGATTCTCTGGAAGTCAAATACTATGAGCATGGGGTGGGGAGAAAAGTAATAGATCATTACTAGATTATTCTCATTGTTATGTACATATTTCTTTTACAACTGTCTTCTGACAAAAAAAAATACTGGTGCAGATATTCACTTGCCATCCTCTTTGGCCATTGAACTAAACAGAACTTAAGTAAAATCATCTGGTCTTGGAAAAAAATTGCTTTGCATCAGCTTTCAAATGAATGTGCAAATGAAGGCATTTATGAGGTGATTGATGTGAAGCCACAATGTGTAAATATATTTAAACTGACTTTAGAAGTCATTTGGACGCAAGTAACCTTACCGGCATACCACAAAAATTATATGCATTTTGGAACCGCGTGCTTACAAGTACAAACTTGAATGATTCATGTAGCACCTAAATTACAGGATATTAGATTACGTTTGTTTGTGTGTATAAGCTGAAGGTGTCTAGAGCTAAAGAGACTTTGGTTGCTGATGAGGTTTCAAAGTAAATTTGTATCAACTAGAATGAATCAAAAGTAAAATAAAACAGGAAGCTAGTAGATTATGAGGTATCAGTGTATAAATATGAAGAGTAAAAGAGTATACAATTATTTCTGTTCCATAGCTGCAAGTAACACATTTTCCGGAGTAAAATTCTTACACTTCAGGTAAACTAGATAAATTAGGCACACATGAAGCAGTACATGAGAAGTTACAATGGAAAGATAATAAACCAATGTGTTCCTGTTTAGCAGGGATACAGACACCAGAGAGAAAAGCAGTTCAGTAATCAATAAAGCATCAGCACCTAGAAAAGAAAGATCAGAAGAGCAGTGTGGCTGTGCAAATATAGACATGATGCATTGAGCTTGGAAGGAAAAGAAAGTCATGTCTGCTGTAAAAAATAAAGATAACTTAATAAAAATTCAACAACTAAAATCAGCCAAACTGCTACCAGCAGATGTTTGGTATTTACACTTTTGAAATGCCTGATCAATCCTCTGTCACGAATCTGGTGTTAATAAGGTATTGTATGGTAGTGGTTCAGTAGTAAAACAAATGTTTTTAATTCCTTTTTTTCCCCATCAGGCGTAGCAGATGGCGTAGGTGGTTGGCGGGACTATGGTGTCGACCCATCTCAGTTCTCTGCGACCTTAATGAAGACCTGTGAGCGACTGGTGAAGGAGGGTCGCTTCACACCCAGTAATCCAGTGGGCATCCTGACGTCTGGCTACTACGAGCTCTTGCAGAACAAAGTTCCCTTGCTAGGTGAGTACATAGAGATGATCCACCTGGTTACAAACACAGCAAGTGGTGGAGCGAGCTCAGCCGTGCTGAGAGAAATAAATAACATAGCTGCAGTATGAGTCACACTGTGAGTATTGGCCCTGCTCACCGAGCACAGAACACAAGCTCTGTCCTGAGTTATACTATCTGTTTAATATGGAATCGCTTCTTCTACCTTGGCAATTACTAATATACAGCCTTTAAGTGTGTGATCAGTTCATCAAGAGGGAACCAAATTTTGCTTCAACGATTGTGTTAGTTGGTCAGGTATATATATTATGTGACTTTTGTTTGACACAAACCTTTGTCCCACCGAGTGATTTAAAACCAGAGAGGTAACTATCTTTGATTGGGCAGTGATTTCTTATGCTAACACTTGGCAGTTGAAATTCAGTGATCTTGTGACTCCCCACAATTTACCCTATTACGCAGGCCAAACACTTTGCCCCCTGCCAGAGCTTCAAAAGGTCATGAGTCTGTCTGTAACTGATACTACAGGAGGGTCAGTGAGATTTTAAAAGTAGGTTAACACCAAGCACGTGATCAAGGTTTCATATCTTGGCTCAGTGTCCCTGGCCAAGAGTTAGTGCAGACGCAGGTTAGCTGTCGTTAAATTTAGTTGGCATACTTTTATTTTGGAAAGTCGTGGCAAGGTCAGCTCTTGACCTTCTCTGCTCAAGGTTACCTGAATTGTTGCTAGTAGCTGTCACTGGGAATGCAATCTTTTTGGTTGGGTTTTTTTTTTCGTCTGTATTATATTTCTTCCACTCTCCATGGATATATTAGATTCATAATGAGGACACTCACAAAGACTACTTTGTACTGGTTGGGCAACATAACTCTTTTCTTTTGCCCTGATCAAATTATCTGTTTGTATACATAACCTTAGTGTTGTTTTACTCCGCTTTATTTTCAGGAAGCAGCACGGCCTGCATCGTAGTTCTGGATCGGCGGAGTCACAGGCTACATACGTGTAACCTTGGCGACTCTGGCTTTTTAGTGGTACGTGGTGGAGAGGTGGTTCATCGCTCGGACGAGCAACAGCACTATTTTAATACACCCTTCCAGCTGTCCATCGCTCCTCCGGGAGCCGAGGGAGTCGTGCTCAGTGACAGGTCAGTTGCTCAGTGTTAGATATATCTTTGTAAATAAATAAAACTCTATATTAGATAGATGCTGGGCTGGGCTGGTAGTTGTACAGCACTGTACATGTCCTGCTTACAGCAGGCTCGGATAAAATGGTAAAGGCATATCATTCCATTCTGAGCATCCCTACTTGCAGTCATTGGGTTTGCGTGCCACTTTGTAATGCAAAGCAGGATTTAAAATAGAAGTGCAGGTCATGATCTCTGTCATTTTCACTGCCAAGCTAATTTGTGGACAGCTTAATTAGCCCAACTTATCAAAAACATGACTCATCTCTCATGTGGGAAGCAAATATCATAGCATAAAGGCCTTTATGTTGTTGTTTGCCATGTAAACAGAACCTGCTTTTCACCACACACTAAAGTGTGTGCAGGCGTGCACAGGTTTGCTGGCTAAACCAATTTACATCTGTTATGACTGGCATCAACTCTAATAAAGCTTTTGTAACATGATCTGTTTTTATGTCTGAATTGCCAGATGATGTCAGTGATTACCTGGATTTGGCTAGAGTTGGTAGCAACAACAAAAAGTGTCCTTCTTTAGAAGTTTTCCTTAGTGTTTTTAGCTCTCTGCAGACATCAGGAATGTTACTTTCAAATTGCCCGTTCCTCCATGGATACAGGCTTTCAGTACTAGCAAGCCATGGCAATGGCAACTGATAAACAAGAGGGAAACTCTGTAATCCATTTGGAGCAGTCTAGATGTTTTGTTTGACTTTTCTCACTGGTTTGGCAGGTTTAATGGGTTAACGTTCCCATTAAAGTACATTTATAGACCTGTTTAAATGTCATCATAAATTAAGACCAAGCAGAAATATAAGGCTCCCAGGTAATAAAACCTCAGTCTGAGACTTGTGTATGGTGGTAGGAAGTGACAGGCCATGCCGGCATTCGGCACGGACGGAGAAGTAAACGGAGAAGTCAGGTTTTACGTCAGCTGTCACATTAAACGCTCACACTCCATCTTCAAAATTTAGCAGAGTGGCTTCTGACCTGCTTAATTCTACACTTAAAAATGTTGCCAGCAGCTCAGGTGCTTCGCGCTCTAGTTTCACTTCATGATCTTCCCGTGCTTCCTTGTTTCCTGTAGTCCCGAAGCGGCTGACAGCTCCTCTTTCGACGTGCAGCTTGGCGACATCATCTTAACCGCAACAGACGGTCTCTTTGACAACATGCCAGACTACATGATTCTTCAGGAGCTCAAAAAACTCAAGGTATCACTTCAACATGTCAGCTTATGCTTATATGTGTTGGAAACAAATTCAAATTTTAATGCTTTTTTTATTATTGCATCTCGTTTCAGACTACCAACTATGACAGCATCCTGCAGACTGCACAGAGCATTGCAAAGCAAGCTCATGATCTTGCCTACGACCCTAATTATATGTCCCCTTTTGCACAGTTTGCCTGTGACAATGGCCTGAATGTAAGAGGTAAGGTTACTGTTAGCTCCCTTTAAAAGCACCATACACATAACTGCAGTATAATGTTTTTACAGCACGCCCCTTTTCCTGATTAATATTAATAATAAGTTTTGGTTGTACAAATTTTGGAGATGGCACTATTATTTATCATGTTTTGAATAATTAATTAATAAACATTGAAATAAACATAATTTGTGTGTTATTAGATGCATAATGAGGAGCATACAAACATACATGCTCCAAAGTACTTTTGATGTCCTTAATGAAACTGTACACTGTTAATATTAGTAGTTGGCCACAAAAGACACAAGTTAAGGATGTCTCGCTGGGGCTTTATACTTCAGCAGTAAATCTACACTGTAACTATGTCGTAACCGCAAACCCATCTGAAACTCTACATCGCAACCTGATGTGAATCTCCATAGAAACCTAACTACACACGGCACAAAACTGTTGCCGGTTCACTACAGTCAATACCTACTGTGCATTTCCAGCTGCGTTTTTGAACTTGTCAGTGAGAGAATAACACTCATCACCTCAATCTAAGAAATAACAATCATAACATGAATTGAAATTCTCACAAATGTCAGCAAATCTTTGGAGGGAGATTGCTGAAACTATCTGAAGAGATGTATGTCATAGGCTCTACAAAGATTGCTCACAGAAGTCCAAATCAGGCCTTAAACCACTCAGACTTTTAAATGTGATTCTCCTTGTGTTGACTAAAAGTTGCTTTACACAGTAAGATTTCAGCAGTTATACTTTATATTTGAAGACACATTACATGACACGTTTGTAATAAGCTTGGTTAAAGCATTTTTTTCAATCAGTTTATCTAGACCTATTGAGGCTCTGACGTCTGCAGTTCCTCCGCTGTGTCCTTGGCGTGGTCATGATAACACACATGAGACGAAACTCCTGCTGGCACAACCAGTTTTTCTTCTCTGTAGGAATCCCAAGCATTTAGTTTTTGCAAGTTTAACCTTGATGATGGCTGACCACCGCTTTACAGCTAATACGAAACAAATCACTACAATTATTGTTATATGCGGCTTTAACACTATTATGAAATAGAAAAGTCTTCTCCTATATATTCAGGAGGTCTTATAATTAAAAAGTACTTTGCATGAACTAGTTCTTACATTTCCTCACTTTATCTTTGTTTTCTTGTCCTGCAGGAGGGAAGCCAGATGACATCACGGTGCTGCTCTCTATCGTGGCTGAATACACAGACTAAAATGTGTGTGTGCGTGCGTGTGTGTTTGAGTGCGCTTCTCTGGGGCTGTTCCTTCTTCGCCGCCTGCCTGAGTCTTCCACCTGCGGCCCTCCCGAAATGCACTGCGTCCTGTGGGGCTGACAGGGGAGGCCCGCCAACACCACGGCACACACTCCTTACAGCACGGCCCGTGTTAACATTTAGTTTTCTTCCGCTGGTTTTGTTTTGGTGCTTGAGCGGCTGAGGGAAGGCAGGCAGCTAGAACGTTTTGTTTTTTTTCTTTCATGTTGATCGTGATGCAGGAGGAGCAGAGAGAGAGCGAGACGGGCGGGAAGATGCCTTTCATTCTTCAATGTCTCATCCTGTAGCATCAACATCTTTTTCAATGATGTGACAGCCCAGGACAGATGGACGGCCTGTAGGCTTTAAAATCTGAAATAAAAATGTGATAAGGAGTAAGCCATGGGTTTGGATTCTTTAGAGCGTAGTAACAGATTTAGCAGGCGAAACCTGGCTATTGGTCTCTGTTGTTAATCTGTTCCATGTGGTAAATGTGTTTGAACAAAGCATGTAGACTAGACTGAGGAAGCTGCTGCTGGGATGTTGTTTGAGTATGAAATGTACGAGTTGGGATTAAGTGTCTTTCCTCAGATCAAAACTCTGTAATGAGAAACTGTAACACTTATTAAAGCTTTCACATGAAGGTTAATCAGGTTTTGTCGCTTGGCCGAGGGAACCGCATCTCCTGATGAGTTGTAAATATTTTTGTTTTTTGAGAAACTTGTTCTGGCCTTTCTGTTGTCTTTGAATTGGTTGTTAAAGCGAAGAGCTGTTTCGTTACTTTATGGAAGATCTACACATGCTCTCGTATACTTTCTTGTACAGATACTAATCTCCAGGTGATTTTCATCAATACCACACTTCCGTTTGAAAGTTGAAAGTCGCTTCCTGAGATTGATCTCTGAAGCAGTCGTGTTGCCGAAAGGCCCCTAAAACATATGACTGGTTTGTGTGGCATATTTGAGAAGCCACTGTACGTAATGTTTATATTTGTTATAAAGCTCAAGTTAGCATCTGGGAATGCTTACAATTGCAGTGATAGGTCAGGAACAAATTCAAAGGAGAAAGATGTATTTTTTAAACCTTATTTTGTTTTAAAAGCTACAGACTGAAGCATATGCAGATGTGACGAACGTCCCGTGGATGACTAAAAGATCCAGGTATCTTAAAAAAAAGAAGAAGAAATGTGCATTGTGTGAGTCTGCTTCAAATGTTTTGTTTCTCTGTCCCTCATTTTCCTGTTTCATTTGTTTGCTGCTGCTTTTGTTAGTCACGTATGACTTGATTTGCATAAACGCTGTGACCGTGATTGCGACGAGTGCGTAAACGTGCGCTCTGGATTTCACCAAACTACAAGAATCAAAGACACTGATGATACCGTTCTGCTTATGAGGGTCTAACACTTCACCTAAGTGTTGTGGATAAACTCTTTACAATTTAAAAGCATGTGCACCAAAGACACATTTTCTTTGTGTATCTCATTATGCTCTTTTTTTTTTGACACAAACATCATACAGCAATACTCTAAATACTCAAATTTTCTTGTTCTATGTGTGTGTGATGGCCAGAGGTCTGTGTGGAAATGTTCAGAATTACATTAAAGTGTATTTTCTATTCCTAAAGTTGTATCATATTCCTGGTTTTAAGTTATATGTAACTGGTTATCTGTAAGTAACTATAAAGACAGGTTTTTAAAAGAAAAACCAAAGAAGGGAAGCCATAGTTCACAATTAGGGCACTGCTCTGGAAGCACCACTGTAATGGTAACAGTCACTGTGGTGCTTATCTAACAATCACGGTAGAAGTTGTACTGTTGCTGCCATACTTGAATCCACTGATCCACCATGCATTTTATTACTAGAGAGCAGTTCATATGTGCAATTTGGCAGCAGTTTGTGCTACAATGATTGCATTTCACATCAAATCGGGCAGGTTTTTCTTCCTCATAAACATAATGGGGGTAATGATTTGCATATCTGTCCTGCTGTCATCGTTGTTTTTGTTTTTTATGTAGTTTCTATTTTAGTTACTGGTAAACCCCCCCC